CCCTGCAAACAACTGCAGCACCTGCGGGCTGGGGGACCGGGGCCAGAGACGAGCAAAGTGGGCGCTGTGCGGGGGCACGGGGCTGCTCGCTGGGGTCCCCAGCAGTGGCAAACACCTGCAGGATCCCGTTACCTTCCTCTGCGTGTCTCTAATCAGCGCTCCCCCTCTTCCCCAGGTGATGTCTAATGTCCTATTTCCCATGGCTGGTAGGACAGGCTGCCTGCTGGAGCCCAGCTGCCGTGTCCCTGGAGCGATGAATGCATTAGGGCACGCGTTGGGCGCAGTAATTCAAAGCAGGACCCCCATGGAATAACGGCCTGATGGCCCCGTGGGCAGGCAGGAGGTGGCGGCGTAATTATTTTGGGTTCGGCAGCAGGAGCGGGGTAATTGAGTGCTCACAGGCACTCGCCCTCCCAGGGGATCAAAGGGATTCCTGGCAGCTGAGCAACTGCAATGGAAGCACCATTGTGAACCTACAGACCGGCTACCAAAAGGCAACGCACCAAAATAACGGAGTGAGACCCCAAAACGTTGCCCCTCCGTCCCGGGAGCCAATATCGAGGGCGCTGCCTGAAATTGCAGCTTTTCCCCTGCCAGCTTCCAGCAGCCGCACCCCCGCTGTGCTGCTCGGGGCAGGCTGCGGGGGCTTTTTCAGTGCTGTTTTAGGACTTCGATCCTGCCCTAAAAGAGGTGAGTGTGTAGGGACAGCTGCCCCTGGGGTGCTGTGGGGGTGTCCGGGGACAGCACCCCGAGAGCTGCCGGCGGCGCCGCGTGGGAACCCGGCTGCGATCCAGAGGCTGGAAGCGGCTGTTTGCAAACGCCTTGCATCAGCTGTGGCACTGGAGGTAATTAAGGAATGAAAACTGCCGCACACCCCCTAATTAAGGGGATTAAAAGCGAAAGCTGCCTGATTTCACTGCCGGCTGGGAAAAAAAAAAAAAACACAACAACAAACAAACACTGGTGGGGATGGCTGCGAGGCCAGGGCTCCGCACGGGGCTGCTGCAGCCACCGAGTGCCGAAAGGAGAGGCTGTGGGGAGAGGGGCAGGACGGGGCTGCGCTGATTTGGGTCTAATTGGCTCTCGAGCACAGGAGGATGCAGTTACTCACTGCCCTGCGGCCCTCCCGGTGGGGTTCTGTTCCCAGGGGGGGTTCAGGCAGCACCAGCTGTGCGTGGAGGGGGCCGGTTGTGGTTTTGGGATCGGGGAGGCTCCGGGCACCTCGAGGGCTCTTGCTGTTCCTTGTGCTACAGAAACACCTCGGTGCCCAGTGCCTGACTCATTCTGGAGCACTTTTATTTCCATTTCTATTCCTTTTGGGGATCAGGGAGGTTTGGGGAGCGATATTTTCTTTGTGCAAACTTGAACCCGAACACCGCGGTGCAGCCTCGGGGTGGGTGAGTGTCCCGCTGCCTCCCCCAGCCCCAAAACCCATCGCCAGCCCTCGGAGTGGGGACAACCTGAATTTGTCTCGATCAAACCGAATCCACACCTCGAGGCTTTACAGACAGCTTCTGGCTCCCGAATTCCCCCACCTGGTGCCCAAAGGTGCTTCCCTGGGTCTGTCCCTCCTGCGTTCCCCGTGCTTGTGGCACCGCAGCAGTGGGGGAGCTGCTTGGGGTTTTGTTGGGGAACTCCAAGGAGCTTTTTGGTGTTTTTAAAGCTAAGCTACCACGGTCGTGGAAGTTTTCAGGTGGCAGGTTTGAGGCTCTTTCTGTGATGCTCTGCAGCTCAGGGGTTGCGGTGGGAATGGTTTTCTCCTCCCTGGTGAGGTTTTCCTGCCCCGTGCTGCTGTGTGCGGGGCTGAGCCCTGCAAGGAGAAGCCCTCAGAAGAGGTAAAAGGCTGAAGGGTGGTGGCTGCCTGACTCAAAGCCTCTTGCAGCAGCACGGTTCCTGCGGTGCTGTGCACCCACCCAGCGAAACTCAGCCGGGTGAATCTCCCTGGGCGCTGACTCACTCCCTTAGGGCTTGACCAAGCTTTTATAGCCGTGTTCTTGTCCCCAGGGCTGGGTCTCTCCGCAGCCTCTGGCTCCAGAGCGAAGGTCTTCCTCCCTCCAGCCTTCCTCCAGGCCAGCACGTCCCCTCCGTGCCCCCGAGCATCCCCGGTCCCTGCGTTAAGCCTTACAGGTGCGATGTTTGGGGCTTGCTCACGATTGCAGCGAAACAAATCCTTGGCTGCCCCATGGTTGTGGTGAGCACACCGGGGCAAAACACAGAAATAAATTGAGCCTGGCGGCTTGGGTGCTGGTGTGAGCTGCTAAATTGCTCCGAACAGCAACAAAGCTGCCTTGCTGGTGCCTCTGAGCAGCCCTGGAAAGCCTGGACCTGGCTCGCAGCGCAGGATCTCGCTGGGGTAAGGAGCAGCCCCTGCACCAAACGTCTCGGCTCTTTGCGGTGTTGGAAGGAGGAGAAGCAGAAGCTGCTTTACAAGGGAGGAGGTCTCAGAACCAGCTTAGGGTCGCGTCGTGCTGCCTCGTTGAAATACCTGCACGCCCCGTGGCAGGCGTGGAACAGCAGCGGCGTGAAGCCCGTGCTGAGGATGCTTTCGGGTTGCTTTACTGGGGCTGGGCAGGAGGCGAGCCCGGAGTGACTCAGGACGTGCCAGCCCTGCTTTCATACCTGACATTTCTTCTATTTACTCTTACCGTGACCAGTTATTGTCCCTTTTAAAAAATTTCGGGCGTTCCACGAGGGCGAGGCTTTGGAGGAAGATGCATTGTGCTGCAGAAGGATGACCACAGCTCGGGCAGCTCTCCGTAACATCCACGGTGTGCACGAGCTGGGGCTGCGTCCGTCCTGCCTCTGGTGCTCGGTGCCCACAGGCACTCGTGGGGCTGTCGGAGCAGCGTGCGGGTCCCTCCCCGGTTCCAATTATAGAAACAACCAAAGGCAAACCGGCACAAGCGGAAAGTGTTTGCACCCTGTGCTGGAAGCTGCAAGGAAGGAAAACGAGCCCTGTTATGTTAAACCTCGAGTGTAAATGAGGCACAGTGTGAGTAAACACATCTGTGTTAAGGCAAGGGGAAAAAAAAAAAAACCCTCATGAATAATGCATGCAAAACCCCTTCTATTGGCTCGATTGAGATGTGTGGCTTATTTCTGTTTAACTGGTGCCTTAGGAAGTATCGTGCTGCTGGAGGAGGAGGAGGAGGAGGAGGGCTGCTGCCACGCGTGGAGCCGCCGCGGGTTGGCCGTGCCGTTTCTCCAGTGCAAAGTGGGTCTGGGATGGGGTGGGAGTGGGAACAAGGACATCCTAAACCCAGCTCCTGACTCCAGTGTAGCAAAGCCAGGAGCTTCTTGGCTTTGCTTGCTTGGAGCACTCTCCCAAGCACAGGTCCTGCTGCTGTGCGCCTTGGTGCTTTCTTTTTTTGCCGAGATTTCTGGTGCCAGCCCCGTGCTGTGTGTGCCGGGTCCCCCCCATGGGACGCAGCAGCCGGGGCGCTATCGGCAGGGTGCAGGCAGCGGGTGCTGGAGCTGCCTTGGGTGGGGACGGGTGCTCGGGTCCCTCCCTTCCTCCCCGAGGCCGGGCAGATACCGGAGGCTGCCGCAGAGCCGGGTTTCAGTTCAGCGACCGCCCTGAGCTGGGCTGGCCGCTTCCTTTGTAGGGTTTAGTGCGCCTGGGCGGCTCGCAGAATTGTTTCTGCGTGGGGTTTCTGCCTCGTGTTCGAGGCAGAGGGGGGTTGGTTCTGCTTTGACATCTGTGTAGGGCTGGGAGAGCCCCGAGAGTTGCTCCTACATGATGGGAAGCAATGCGTGCGGTGCTTGTTCCCAGGTCCCTCTGCTTTGGGTCCGACTGTTCCAAGTTTGAGCCAGTTTTAACGCATCCCAAATGGGCATACCCTGCCAAACCCACTGCCGTTGACCTCAGGCACATGTCTTCATTTAAATTTTGGGGTTTGCTGATGAGCCAGTCCCCTGAATCTCGTGTGACATCCAGGTCTGTGGCATCCCAGAGGATGTTTGGGGATCTGGGATCGGGGCTGCGGCTCTGCTCGCTTGTAATGCACGCCTCTAATGCGCCGTTTAGTCCGGTCATTCCGTAAGCCCGCTATTCAGCTTGACAGAAATGATTTGCTTCCAGCAGATGGTAAGCTACTATTTTTTGCCCTCATTTAAATAGGAAAGCTGTACGGCACCAGAAGATGAAAGAGGGGCACGGTGCTGCCGCCGTGCAGTAGATTACGAGGGCTGGGCTGGTGAGAATTAAATCCGGGCGGTTATAATGGACCATCTGCGGTGTGCCTTTGCCTTCTTCCCCTGCTCGTAGAGCCCGCGGCACCTCGTCCTACTGCTGGGGTGGGAGTAGGGCCAGCCAGGCCACAGCATCCCTTTGTTAGCACCCAGCGTATCGGCACAAGGAGATGATGCGCGTTGGCTCTGTACAGTGCCCGTGCTAATTATTCTCCTAATCAAGTGTGATAAAAAGAATTTTGCAGGCAGTTTTTTATTGCTTGGCTTTGCCAGACCTATTTGTCCCATAGCCTTCAGTGGCAGCTCTTTGGAGGTTCAGCTTCAAATCTCTAGAGGTGTTCAGTGGGAGGCATCCGAATTTCTTATTTTGTTTGCAAAGAAAAGCACACTGAGTCCTCTGCTGCGTTTTCTTAATCGTATTACAAATCATCTATAGGATGCATTGCTCAAACACGTGTTCTGCTTGAGGTGAGTGCAGTTCCAGTGCCCCTCTCCCACCTGAAAACACCTTTTACACGTGTGTGCCTCGCTGCATGTGCACCAGGTCCCTGGGAGCTGTGTGTTCAGCCCGAGCCCCGCGTCTCCCAGCGCGCAGTTGCACCTCTTGTGAAATGGGAAAGAACGCGCTTCAAAAAGAGCCTGCTGTTGCTGCAACTCTGGGATTTTTTTGGGTCTATTTTTAGCAGAAATTTCTCGCTGACAATTTCTCGCTGTCTCCAGTTCTCGCCGGAGCAGGAGCGTTCGGTGGAGCCGCACGTTTCGGGGCAGGGAGGCGGAGGCAGCGCGCTCAGGCAGCGCGGGTGCGGTTATCTGGTGCGCACCGCCGCGAAACGTTCGCCTTCTGAGAAGGGAGTGTGCCTGGGGGCAGCCCTTCCTCTCTCTTTGAAAGGCAAAACCACCCAGGATTGGGTCACAGGAACGGTGGGAGCTGTTTTCTTCTGGGCTCGGGAGCAGGACTTAGGTGTTACTCCTGGTTGGAGCAGCGAGCGTGCTGTAGCTTATCCATGTGCCTAGATGCAGGAGGCTGGAGCGTGCTGTCAGGTAAGGACACTGAGGGATGTGTGTCTGACCACAGCTGTTTCTCGGAGCCACTGAAACTTGTCAGCAAAGGACCCAAACGAGCAGCATGGTTATTTCCAGAGAGCTAACACGCCGTCACCTAATGACGGCTTTCTGGGAGCGAAGCGAGTGGTTTTGCATCCCTGGGGCTGGAAGGCTTTCTCGGCAGGGATCTGTTGAGCAGCTCCAAAATGTGTATTTCAGATAAATTGTCAGCCTGTCGCCTCCAGCAAGTGTGCAGGGTGCTCTCTGTCCCGCTCCAAAGACCTAAAGCAGGTGTGAGACCGCAGCTGGACTGTGCTGAGCTAAAACGGTGCCGTAAGGGAGGGCTCTGCTCCCGGGAGACGCCAACAAAGTGTGCTGTGCTGTGCTGCCTTAGGCTGGTGGCCACGGCCGCAGCCTCACACGTGTGGCCACAATTGCAATCCCACATGTTTCGGGTCGTTGGAAGGCAGCAAACGCTTACGTGACTAATGCAGAAGCTGCCTCGTCTTTTTCTGGGCTGGAGGTGAGGGGAAGAGGAAGAAAGGAGAGGTATGAGGGAGTGTGCCCGTGGGTGGGATGGACCCGAGCACCGCCTTTGCTCTTCTGATGTCTGCAAGAGCACAGTGTGGGGCTGGACCTGAGCTCTGATATCCTCTGCTCCTCAAATGCTGCTGAGCATGGACTCAAACCACAGATATTAGGAACAGGATCAGCAGGTAGGCTTTTTACTCACTTTAAGCCTCAAGTTTACTTTGCTTAAAGGAGAGAAGTGACTCTGCAGGTGAAAGCAGGCTTGCAGAGGCACCGTGTGCTCCCCCCAGTGATGCTGCAGGGCCTTGGGTAGAAAAAAGATGAGCTGGGAGGCTGGGGAGGTCAGAGAGTGTCTGGGGGCTTGAAGAATCTGCTGTGCAGGGGACAGGAGGTTCATAAAACCTGCTCCGAGTGCCTTTAATTACGTTTTCTTCAGATTGCTTCCTGTTGCTGAAGACTTCCTGTCTGAAGCAGGATGTTCTTAAACATCAAAATGCTTACATAGAATACGTACTTGAGCTCTTTTCTGAAGCGAGCAGATATTTACTCAGAAATCTCCGAAGGCAGCGTGTCCGTTTTGTTGTGCTTTGCTCATTTCCGTAGCATTAAGCGCTGTCTCTCCGTTAGACTTGTGATGATCCCGCTATTCAGTCTGTCTGGCTTCAAACCCTCATCCTCTCCCCAAACCCTCCCCCAAAACCCAGCAGTGAGAGATGTGATGGGGCAGAGCAGGAGGTGAGCAGCACGGCGATGTGCAGTGAGCAGGAGGACCAGGTCCCTCTGCCGCCGGTATCGCAGAGCTCCTGGGGCTCCTGCGGGGTCTACACAACTGCCTGGTGGAACAGCAATGGAAGAAAATGGATTTTTAAAACCCGCTTGTGGTTTGAGTGGGCATGCCTTGTCCAAACAGTGAGCAGAAGAGCAGGAACCTGGCTCTTCAGGCCAGCTCTGCTGTGGGTGTCCTGCTACGTAGTGAACATCTCCGTCCCACAGAGGTTGAAGGAACCGTTTTTTTAAGTGGTACAGCCCCTTGGTTGTGTGCCCTGCTTACAAATTCCATTGCTTTCATTTGAAAGCTCAAGAAACCCTTTCTGAACGTAAAGCTTCAAAGGGAGAGAAGCAGTGGGCAGCGTGCTCAGGTCGTGCCGCAGGACGTTCGGCTGCACCCGATGAGTTCTTGGTGCTGGCATCTCGCTGCCGCATGAAATGTTTATTGGGAAGGGAAATGCTCCTACGTGCCCGTTACCGCATCCCCAGCCCAGGGAAGGGGATTTGGCTGAAGGAAGCCGAGCTCTGACGCGATTCCTGGGGGGCAGAGGAAAGACGCGGGGATGTTTGTTGGTCCCCAGCGAGTCCCACCTTCCAGCGCCGGGATGAGCGCCGTCCACAGTGTGCCGCGGTCGCTGCTTTGAAATCCAAGCAAGTAAACAGGCTTGTTCCAGGACTGTTAGCATTTAAAGGGAGCAAACTACGTCCAGAGGAAGTGTTTGTTTGTGGGCTGTCCCTTCTGTTTGCCTCAGTTGCTGAGGCCTGCTCTGCCAGGCCCCCTCCCTTCGCTCCGCATTTCGCCTTTTTGTTTTTAAGAGAGCAGCGTGCTTCGAGTGTGTGTTTGGATAACGATTCTTACAAATGCATTTATTCAAAATAAACACAGTGGGAAGTAACTACAAAGCAGCCTGTCTGGGCAGCTGGTGCACGAGGGAGCTCACCGTTTATTGCATGCTCGTGCTGGGGTAGTAACGCGGCTGTATGTTCTGGTGCTGCGGGAGCTTTGCCCTCTCCATTGGCCATGTCAATTGAGTGTGGTGTCCCATGGGCTCAGGGTGACAAACGTAGTCTGTTACCCCTTGCACTGCCTTGTGACGTCTACCCAGTTGTTTTTGGAGAGCTGTTGAGGGTGTGAATTGAATTCCTGGTGGTGTGATGGCAGTGTGACTCCACAGGCTGTTGCTGAGCTGGTGGTGAGCAGCGTGCTCGCCAGGTATCCTACGGCACCGAGAGCTGCACGAGCCAAGGGCCTGAACGCCCTCATGTCTCGTGTGTGATTTGGATGAAATTGCTTTTCCTTCTTGCTGATGTTTCTGGGTCAGTCTGTGCTGCTTCCCCCAGGGGACGAGGCAGCCCAGCTCTGCGGGGCTTTGCCTTCCCCAGGCAGCGAGCAGCAGGCGTGACGCAGCCGCTCCGAGGGCGGCGGTGGGAGCCGGCTGGGTGCTGCGTCTGCCGTAGCTTTTTGTTTGATTTGGATTTCACGGCTTTCTCGGAGAGCCTGTTCTGCGATAATCTTGCAAAAACAAACTCCTGCAAGACTTCCGCGAAGGGTGACCTAACGTCCAACTCACCGCATTTTGGAGAATTACCTGCCCCTGCTGTCACTACACTGTGCCGCCCTGTTTTCCACTGTGCAAAGCTCTGGAGTATAAGTGCTGAAGTGTGGCTTTCCACAGATCTGTCTTCGTTCAGCTCAGAGCCATGGCATGCCTGGGGTTTGGCAGCACCTTTTCCCTTGCAGCATCCTGGGTGCATCAGGTGCACGCGGATGCGCTTGACTGGGGCCACGTGCAGGCTGGCTCCTCTCGTGCCATTTTCTCTCTGCATGTAGAAAGCTGCTGCTTCAGTGCCTTCCATCTCTCTGTGCTTGGAAAAAAATCTTTCTCCCAGGAAAGCTCACTGAGGGGAGGATCATGCATAGGTTTCAGAGCCCCTGTCCCAAATCTGACGTGGCTCCAAAGCACACTGCTGGGTGCACAGATCCATCACTGCTGCCTCTTGGGCCCCAGCAGGCTTTCCAAAGAAAAATAGCCTGAAAAAAAGCCTTTTTTTTTCCTTGTAAAAAAAGAATCCCTGCTAAACTCAGGGAATTTACATGTCTAGAGAAGTACAGCCAGAGCAGGTCCCTAATGCTGCTTTCTTTATAAACCACAGCTTTAGAAATAGTATTAAGCTTCTGCATTAAATGCAGGGGAAGAGTGCTTTGGAAAGCTGGGAAGGCTTTTGTCTTCCAAGCACTCCGGTTATTTTGGCAATTAGTACGAATTAATTTAAAATTGTCGAATGCAATAATTATGTAGGAGGGTGACATCTCAAAACGTTTCTTAAGTGCGTGTTTTGAGCAAATGTTTGTGCGCTGAGGGCTGGGCTGGGGGATTGGGAGGCGTATTGGATTATATGCTATTTGCTCTGCGTAAGCAGTGGCAATTTATTGCTGCAGATACATGTGATGCAACGCGCAAAGATTAGTTCTATCCCCTCTAAAGCATGATTATTTTGGGTCCTCTTTATACCTTAAATAGATACTCCTCTCATGTGATTTCCATCTTTTTGTGTCAACAGCCCAGGCTAAAGTTGAAATAAACATTGCACCAGCTTAACAGCGCGGCCTCTGAAGAAATCTGCTCTCCATTATGGGGATTGTTTGGAAGCCTTTTAATCTGAAATTTTTCAGATGCTCGATGGTGTGGCACAAAGGTCTTGTGAATCCCGAAGCCTGCTTGGCTTCGCTGGATCTGTCCCGTGTAGACCAGTGGAGTTGCAGTGGTTCTGAGCAGAGCCTTTTCCATTTTGTGTCCCTCTTCTCGGTTCCTTGTGAGGTTCTGCGGCCTGTTTTAGGGACATTTGGAAGAGAGCAATGGCTTTTGTTGATTGAGAAGGGCTACAGAGCTGGTGAGGGGTCTGGAGCACAAGTCCTGTGAAGAGCAGCTGAGGGCACTGGGGGTGTTTGGGCTGGAACAGAGGAGGCTCAGGGAGACCTCATTGCTCTCTGCAACTGCCTGGAAGGAAGCGGTGGGGAGCTGGGGTCGGCCTCTGCTCACAGGGAACTGTGCCAGGAGCAGAGGGAATGGCCTCGAGTTGTGCCAGGGGAGGTTCAGGCTGGCAATGAGGAGACATTTCTCCTCAGCAAGAGCGCTCAGGCGTTGGGACGGGTTGCCCAGGGAGCTGGTGGAGTCCCCGTCCCTGGGGGTGTTCAGGGAGAGGTTGGACGTGGTGCTTGGGGACTGGCTCAGTGAGTGGTGGTGGTAAGGGGGATGGTTGGACCAGGTGAGCTTGGAGGTCCTTTCCAATCTTAATGATTCTAGGATTTTAGACTTAATAATGACTCTTCTTGGCTGTGTGGGGTTTGTCTCAAGTGGTGGCTTCCTTTTGCAGTTTTGGAGAAGGTTGCTGTAACCCTGCAAGCCCCTGCGGGCTGTGTGGGATTTTTGCAGGGCTCGGTAGGAGGAAAATTGTGGGGTCTGGTGTGTGTTCTCATCTGCTGTGCTCTTACAGGTGGTGCTGCAGTGGGGTGAAGGACCTGGAGTGGGACAGGGCCTTGGGACAGCCAAAGGGTGGAAGATGTGTGGGCAACCACTGTGTGTGGTGGAGATGCTTCTGTCAAAGCAAACCTGAGCGGAATGAGGGGTTTGTTTGTTCCTAATTGTTAGGGCTGGGGTCGGCAGGACGGGGTGGTGTGCCTGGAGAGCGTGGTGTGTCTGTGCTGCTTGGTCTGACTGGCTTTATGCCCGCTCCAATGTCCTGCTGCTTGACACCTTTGGTGCCTCTCCCGCAGCGCCACCATGACAACAGAGAAGGGCCCAGCGGCAGACGCCGAGAGTTCGGAACAGCAGCAAGCAAAGGAGGAGGAGGAAGGAGCCGCCGAAACACCCAAGGGAGAGGCCTCTCCGGAGGAAGGGGCTCAGCAGGCCGCCGAGGGGCAGAAGCAGAAGGCCTCTGGCGGCGATACACAGGAGGAGCCAGGCAAGAAGGAGCGCCGTGCCGCCGAGGGCCGCGGCCTCTCCCGCCTCTTCTCCTCCTTTCTCAGGAGGCCCAAGTCTCAGGTGTCCGAAGAGGACAAAGACCCCGATGTGCCCACAGAGGGCGGAGGTGACCAGAAAGACGCGGGGTTAGGAGCCAGCCCTGATGAAGAGATCCTGGTGAAGGCCCCGATTGCAGCTCCCGAGCCTGAGCTGAAAACTGACCCATCGCTCGACCTCCATTCCTTAAGCAGCGCCGAAACACAGGTAACACACCCTGCTCGGTGTGGCATGCTTCCTTCTGTTCTCGTGAATCTGTCTTTTTAGACAAAACCATACAAAATTCTTATTCTCTGATAGTAAGCTAGATTAGAAAATCCCATGAGATGCTGAAAGGGCTCATCATCTCCTCGTGCTGCATAGCATGCTCCTGTATCAGAGCATAGTGCAAAATGCCTATTCCTGAAATTGTAACAACACTTCAAAGCATACATTAAAGTACCCCGTACTGACTCTTTACCCTGCTGAACGTGGAAATTCCCCCAAGGACTTGGATTTGAATTTGTTATTCACGACAGAGCTGTTTCTCATTTGGATGTGCTTGGTGTGTCCAGAAGGCAGGTCAGTGTTGTGAGGTGAGGACTGCAAGAGAAAGTGAACCTGGGAAAGGGTTTCGTGAGCTTCGAGGAGTGTAAGCGGGGCATTTCAGGACTTGGTCATCTGCTCAGTCTGGGCTGTTGCTGAGCCTGCCAAATACAAATATTTTCTGCTTATGCATCATGTAGACAGGGATTTTTGCATAGCACGTGTGCTGAGCCCAGCTCTTAGTAGCTTTCTGATTTCTGCTCTTTAAAGCCAGGGTTGTTTTTCGTGCAAGATTTAAAGTTTTTAAAGCCGGGTAGAAAGTGAGGCAGAGACACCCGTGGTGAGACATGCACAAGGCAGCAGCTGGTTATTGATCTGGGGGCCTCTGGTTATTGATTTGGCTGGCCTCTCTTACTCCTTGGTGGGTATCTTGGTTAGCTGCAGCCCTGCCATCACTAGTGTGGCTGCACGGAGCCAGAGGAGGTGATTGCTACTTCTTGTGAGACGGGGATTTCCTAAAACCCAGCCAACCTGTGTGTATTGTTGGAGTCCCAGAGTTGACAGCAAGTTTATGGTAACATCTGCATTTTTTTCCCTGCTGCCCTAAGGTTTTGGATGGTCTCCAGTGGGGTGTTAGATTTCAACTGCAAACTCTAGGTTTTTACTAACTTTTTGAGAAATACTTTACAGGTTGGTATTGTCAACTGTAGGCAGCTGTAAATCCACTGCCTTAAAATTGCAAAGTCGTAGAGAAGGCTGTAGGTAATGTATTTCTGTTTTCCCTGATTTCTGAGCCTTTGAAAAATACAGGCTGATCTTTGCTAGTGCTTTGTACCTTTCAGAATTGGGACATGATGGGGAGCTGGAAATTTGCAGGCAATTTCAGCCCTGAAGGGGCCTCTTCAAGAGGGGATGTATGATTTCTTTCTCTTTTTAGCTTTGATTTGCTTTTGCTCTATGCACAAGTGAGCGTGCACGGAGAGAAAACCCACCACCTTCCTTCAGCAAGCGCCGTCTGTTTCAGACGAAGCACTTGTTTTTGTTAGTTCTTATTTTAGATTGACGTTAGTGGCTTTTTGAACTGTGACACTCGGCAGATATTTCTGCCGTGAAAGCATTTGCGAGGTGCTGCCTCTTTGATAAATGCTGACCAGCAGGCATTACGAGCTTTGACTGATTCTCTGCTCCCGATTATCCTGGCCCTGCTGGAACAGAAGTCAGCAGCTTGTGGACATTATTTAGGTTTCAAACACTGGAGCCGGCGCTGGCTGTGTGCAGTTGTGCCTGGGTGTGATTTCATGAGATGCGATGGGCTGAATTAACGGCTCACCGCAGGCTGAAAAGACAGGGTTTTGCTCTCCCTTCCTCTGCCATGGCTGCGTGCTCCGGCTGCATTGAGCCACTTCCAGCACTTGTCAAATCCTGCTATGAACTTATTTAACCCGCTGAAATGGCAGTAAAAAAAAAAAAAAAAGCTTCCTTCCTCCTTCTGTCCCCAAACTGCGTATTTTTCTGCAAGTTTAGTGAATTCAGCTGGCTCATAAAGTGCTTCGGTGGGCAAAGGGGGAGGCCGTCGGGTGTGAAGGCTGCCTTCCCCTTTCGGTGGCCATGAACTGTTGAGTCAGCTCAGAGGGCCATGAAATGTCAGTGCCAGTGTCCCTTGTACCTCTGTTACTCTGCTGAGCACTGTGTGTTGGAGCAAAGCAAATCTTCCTGGGTGACAGCGGGAGCAGAGGGGCACCCTGTGGCTGTTGGCTCTTCTGGCAGTGGAGGCATGAGGTCTCTAGCCTAGGACAGAAAACACTTGCTAATCCAAAAGGCACAGTCATTAAGGCCATGAAGATTTGCATGATCTAACCTGCCCTAATTTCTCTAATCAGCCCTTCATTTTTTTTTTACGTCTTTTATTAAATGAAGAGTTGAGAATGACTTGAAGGGCTTTAAAAATTGCCACCACTCAGCGCACTTGTTACCCTGCCCACCCAAGCTGCTGCCAGGTCCTGGGCTACACATTTAGGCCAGATAACTAATTCCGGGGTGCGGTGCTCGTTTCTTGTGATGGCTTTTTGTTTGACACATCTAATTGGCGACTTGGATGTGCTGGGGTTTTCAGCCTGCGCAGGAGGAGAGGAGGGAAGACCAGGAGCCGGACAGCAGAGACCTGGAGGGCAAGGAAGGAGGAGAAGCGAAGGAGGAGTGCACCAAGCCGGAGCCCAAACAGGAGACTCCAGAGACCAAAGCCGACAAGGATTTGAAAGCTGCCCAGAGAGCTGTAAAGAGACACAGAAACATGTACTGCAAAGTTGTCTTGCTGGATGACACCATCTTTGAGTGTGCTGTGGATGTAAGTACATTCAGGGGTTGTTTCTTCTCTTTTCCCTCTCTCTTCTGCTTGAAAACCACCACAAACACTATTTAATAGGGGTCTAATTTGCTGCCAGTGAATTACATGACAGGCTTTACTGCAGAACAATCTTGCTATAAGCTATAATAACTTATTTAGTGTGCTGTAAAAATCTCTCTGTGCCTAGGAGCCTTTTTTGTTTATAGCTCTGGAACTTGCAGGGTACATTGCTTTGTAAAGGTGGAAGTTTAAAAAAAAAGTTACTGCACTTGTTGTTCATCTTTTTGCTCATTTTTATCCCAGAGTTTAGTTTATTGTGTTAGGTTGGGATTGTCTAAATATTTTCTGCCCCTTTCATTTGAATAAAACCTGTTGTCATGTTGATTTGTGCTTTCTGTTCACCCAGAGCACCTTTGCCGATCAGGCTGCTGGCTAACACATCTCCTGCAGGTGGATGTAAAGACAAACAGGCTGCATTTAGCTTGGAGCTGAATATATTTGGAGTAAACAATTTAAAATCATTATGTTGACTTACAGCACCGCAAAACCCTTCATCTGAGAGCTTTTATTTTGCTTTATTTTGTGCATTCTCTCGCGGGGCTGTCTTGCTGTCAGGGCAATAAAAAGCTCGCAGAAATCCCTATTTCAGTATCGAAGCACTTGCCCGGAATATTAATAATCCGGTATTTACCACTCGAGCCTGCTTCCAGCTTGTTTTTCTCCATCCCGCTAGCTCTGCGGGCCGCGGGAGGGTATCGGGGCGTGGGGCTCCCTGTGGAAGCGGTTACCTTGGGTGATCCTGGGCAAGTAGGTCAGCAGTTTGTGTAACAGCGCGGCTATTGTCGCTGCGCGGGATCGGCGCCCAGCGCTACCAAAGCCCAGGATGTTTACTGGAGATATCAGGCTCAGCCCCCCAAAAAGCAAATTGTCCTCCAAAAGGCTGGTGCGGCAGTGGTGGCTCTGGGCCCTGCGGCCCCAGTTGGTTTGTCGTGGTGTTGGGAGTGTGTTTGGCAGCTCCCCTGCAGCACTGATCCAGCTCTGCTGTGTTCTGGGTGCCGTCACATCGCATGCGGTGTCCCTGGTGCGCTGCTATGGGTCTGGAGCATCCCGTGAGGCACCGAGGAGCAGATGGGCAGGGGCTGCTATGCAGCGAGAAGCTCTTGACTTGTCGAGTACCCTTGGCTTTAATGCCAATGTAATCCCGCTGTAGCATTTGGAGAAGTAATTTATGAAGATGTAATTGGGAAGGAATTGCAAAGGTGTAGGCAAAGACCAGCACAAATGCCTTTATTCGAAAAGAATGAGTGCTTTCAAACCTTCTTTCCCATTGACAGCCATAGGAGGCTTTTAATTCCTACATGTCTTTAAGTGCCAGTTCACCGAGAAAGCTCCCAGGCTGACGCATGCAGCGTGTTAACGGGGGAGCTGCAGCGTGTGCTCTGACAGCCGTACAGCCGAAGGACCACAGGAAGACACGGCCGTGGGCTTTGATCAGTAGCCATGCAAACACGGCTAAAAGGAGAGCTGCCTGCACAAGCGATGCATTAGTAAAGCTTATTTTGCGTCACCGGAGCTGCACTTTCCTTGTAGCAAAGCCACCAATAGAATTAGCTGCTTGTGGTTACCATAGTTTTTGCGCCTCAGGGACGTTTTCCTTCATGCTGTGGACTAAAAGGGTATCTGCTCCTAGGGCCAGCTCCTTCACTTCACTTCTGCAGGATTCTGAAAAAAAAAAGAGGAGATGAGAAATGCTCAAAGAGTGTTTCTGGAGGCAAGAAGTTGTGTGCTAAGCGGGCAAAGCTGGGGAAGCTGGGTTGCCAGCAGCAGCTTGGGTTGAGGAAAGGGTGGAAACGAGGGCCTTTTGTTCTGAGCCCATGATTCTTTTGTGAGCCTGCTTCGCCAAGTTGCTCCCAAAAAAACAATGCCCCAAATGGGGGCTGTCAGGGTGGGTTGGAGCAGCAGCTTTGTCCCTCACACTGATCATCCTTTGATCAGTGCCTGATTGTCTGAGAGCCTGGGGCTTGGAGCTGCCCGTCCCGTGCCTTAGGTGTGCTTTGGGAGGGGAAAACCACACAAATCCTCTGGTTTTGGGGTTGTTGGAGAACCATGGCTCTGGAGGGGCTTTCGACATGGAGCTGGTGGGAGCAGGGAGACCTGCTGCAGATCTCATTGCTTCTCAGTTTGGATTTTGTAAAGAAGGAAGCCTGATAGGAAAGAGCAGCCAGAAGCAGCCAGGAGATGGGATTTTGAGCTAGTCAGGACTTTTTCCCTTCATGGTAGCATCCAGTGTGGTTTTATGTTCCCTTTTTGCAGGCAAAAAGCAGCCTGTGCTATAAAATGCTTTTTGTCTATTTGCAGAAACATGCCAAGGGGCAGGATCTACTCAAGAAAGTCTGTGACCACCTCAATCTCCTGGAAGAAGACTACTTTGGTTTGGCCATATGGGACACGCCGACCTCCAGGGTAAGAAGTTGCTGGTTTATGGTCTGCACCTGGGTGGATTCAGCTCTGTGCAAGGCTCCATGGACGAGGTGGAGCATAAGCTGCTGATGCTCTTCTTCAAACTACTTTGATCCCCTCCCCAGGAAAGGACTAAGAGGACTTTAAGAATAGATTAGCGCTGCTTAGATTGCAGAAGGTGGATGTAAATGTTGACACGCTGCAGGGGGACTTCAGTGCTGGAGCCTGTGTTCACTGAAGGCATGCGGCTGAGCAGGCAGCAGCAGTAAAACTGCGGTGGTTTGGGCATGGAGCAGTCATTGCACGTGCCTTAGGTGTTCGTTTAAAGTCTCTGCAGGCTGGGAGTGTGGTCCCCAAAGAGGCTTTGGGTTTGCTTTCTCTTCCTTCTCTGACTTGCAACTGCCTTCCTCCTGCTTCGGTAACAAATCCGGGAGTTGGATGAATTCATGCTGTATTTATTTTACCCTGGGTGCCTCCTCCTCCGATACAGAGCCAGCTAATGTTGCCATTCTTAATAATGACTGGTTCGGGGGATTCTCTGGGTGGTAATACTGCACTGCACTGGTAGCTTTAGCACCTTCGTAATGGGAACACAGGCAGGGGAGTGGGAGTGAATCAAGGCTTAAAATGTGCAGCGAGTGAGCTCGCAGCAACTGCTGGCTCCCAGCATGGATTCAGCTCCTGCTGCCTGCGTGCCAGCCAAAGGCAGGCACTGGGAGGATTTCTGGGCTGAGATCTGGGCCTTGGGTTGTTCTTTTTTGTTATTTTGTTTTTGTTTTGTACAGAGGATTCTCAATTGGAAAACACGAATGTGTAAGGACAGTGATGAGTTCCAGCAGCAAAGTGCACATCCCTTTTCTATGACTGTTTTGCCCTCGAAAAGGGAGAGCATGGCAGGAGGAGCGCTGAGTGCCAGCTGCCTGCCCCGGCACCGGTGTCAGCGTTCGGAGGGTTTGGTTCTGAACCGAGGCTTTGCCCTGCAAAACAGAACACGTGCAGCTTTTCATACCAAAACTCTGACTCATATGGTTTTAGTTTAAGGGCTTTGTTTGGTTAGACCTGAGCAGTGTCTTATCTTTTAAACCCCTGGTTATGCTTTAACTCGAGCAATTACTCAAGCTCTGTTTAATGAAGCTAGCCAAAAGTGTGTGAAATTGAAAACAAGGGGCCACCTTCACGTCCTCTAGACCAGCTATGTTGATCCACGCTCTGACTGCTCACCTATAGCTTTGCTTATGGGCAAGGTTACAGTGGCTGCAATATATATTAGTTGTTAAAAGGCTCAATAATTGGAAGTATGGATTTTTAATCCAGGCGAAACACGGCTCGATTTGTCCTGTTTGTGCTGGGGGCAGCGTGCTGCCACATCTCCCGGAGCCGCGTGCCGCCGATCGCTCGCAGGAGCGCCGCGATTCTTCTGAAGGCAGCCACGTGCACTTCCTTCGCCCCCGCTTGACGTATGCTGAGAGGCTGTGCAGCTTTTTAACCGTAGAGACTGAAAACAGACAGTTCTGTCAGGTTTGTGTGTCAGAGCCGGCAGAGGAGGAAGGAAAAGAGCTGTGCATGGGGTTAGCTCCAGTGCAGAGCAAGCTGCTCGCCTGGAGACTGTTCTGTTGTGATGGGGGAAAACACTGTGGGGTTTTCTGTTGTGTTTTTTTTTCCTTTTTTTAATCTTTGTGGTTACATGTCATTGAACTTGAAAACCTCAAGCTCCATCTCTCTCTGTAACTTCAAAACCCTGACACCGAGTTACTGCTTGGCTGGTAGAAATGATCGTGATAGGAAGTCAACAGAGGAGCTTGTGCAGCTGCGCTGAGCAGGCAGGGAGATGCACGTCTGTATTCATGGGCAGGGAGAGGTGCTGTGCAGGTTTTCCTGTACTTGGGCAATAAACCTTCCTGCGGACAGGCAATCCAGGCAGGAATTACAGAGGGTGAAAGTGGAAGGAGCAGCTGCTTGGCGCTGAAGCAGTCGTGGTACCGGTATGTGCATGGAGATTCTCTGCTTAAAAGAGTGGCTGTGACTGGAAAGCAAGCGGGCCCGATACGTCTGCCTTTCCGCTGGAGTTCCTATCACTGGTCTTATAGGTTAGAGGAGCAAGCACATAAAAAGATAAGATTACATCTAAGTATCGCTGTCTCCCTGCCATCAAGCTGAATGTCCTTCTAGTCAGGAAAGATTAGCTGGGAGGATTCAGTGAGTCAGTTCTTTCACCTTAGGAGACCTGGACGTCCAAATCCTGTTCAGACCTCACAAAAACGACCGTGGTGGTTGCCTGTAGCCTCTCCAGGGGGCTGGGAGCATCATGCCATCCCCTCCAGGGGGCAAATTGTGGCCTCTGCAAAGGACAGGCTCAGCTTTGGCATGCCAGGTGTTGCTCTGACCGTGCTGGCAAAAACAGGAGTGGTTTTCTGAGGCTGATGTTGCACCAGCATCCCACAAAACCCCAAATTACAGAGGGGGAAAAAAAGGATGTATTTCTAAATTTGTAGCTGAGATAATTACTAGCAACTTGAGTCATACTTAAAAGAGACTAAGTTTATGTCACGCTCCCCAGCTGCTGGATGTTTTCACTCCTCTTTCAGCAATTAGGTTGTTAAAGAACGTAGCTAATAATGGAAAGTCTTGGTGACCTTTGTTCTGAGTAGGGCAAGTATGCGGATAGGGTGCCTAAAATGAATGCATGTGTCCAATTTGTCTGGTTTTAAAGGTCTCTGAGAAAAAATGTGTTGCACAAGTGCCCCTCTTGGCTGGATGTGGCTGAGACCGTGCCCGCTGGTTCGTGCTTGCTGCCTTTTATGCTGCAATATTAGTAAAAGCAGGATCTGACAGGGCAGAATATGCTGGGCAGAGTTCCCTTGGATGCTGTTGCTTTGTTGTTAGGAGCCGCCATAAATTCCTTCACTTAAATCCTTTTCTGTAAAGAGCATCCGTGTGGTGTGGGATGCTCATCAGCTGCGTGTGCTGAGCCTCTGAATTAACAGAGTCACCTCGATGGAGAGGACAGCTTCAGATTGGACCCATGTTTCTTGTTCCTCTCCTATGAGTACTTCGTATGTGAGGGATTAGAAATACACACAGGGACTGCGGACTGGAGTAAAAGTTTCAGAAAATGCTGTATATCTTCCGTTTCCATGGCTGCCTTTATGTCAAACGTTGTCGCCTTGCTGTATTTTTAGCGAGTTGCAGTTTGCTGTGGTGTTTCTGTAACGTCTGTTAAACTGTGAATGTTTTTATCCTCTTACAGACATGGCTGGATCCTGCCAAAGAAATAAAAAAACAGGTTCATGGTAAGTAGATCAAATTTATCATGTGGGTGTGTGTGGCTTCTCTCCCTTCCCTGAGTGTGTGTGGTTCTGGGTGCAGTCCTGAGTGCCCAGGGATCGGTGAGAGTTCAAGTCAGGGTGTCTGGCAGGGATCAGCTCAAGTTCAAGCAGTCTGTGCTTCCTTTCCCTTCTTCTTCAGTACTTGGCGATGCTCTAGAATTAAGGAAAAGTGTTGTTTCCTTGCAAAAACATAGCCAGGGATGTGTTTGTCCTGTGCAAATCCACGCTGTCCTCACTACCATGCAGCACTGAAATAGGATGGGAAAGCAGATGTCAGTGGGCACCATTTAAAGCCAAAAGGAGCTGGGGAGAGCCTGAGCAAAGCTGCATGCTGGAGCAAGGTTTTGTGGACTCCGAGGCTGTTTCAGAGCCCAAATCGGGGTACTGGAATGATAAACAAAGGGCTCGAATAGCATCAGGACAAATGCCAGATGCTCTCTGGAGTATTTTAAGTTCTGCTAGCACTGAATCAGTTCAAGACGAGGGCAGTGTCAGAGTTAAATAAACTCTAGAGGCTTTTGTTTTGTTTCAGGAACAAGCCTGAGGTCTGACAGGCTCACAAGTAAAGCACTGCTCTCTGTATGCGTGGTGGGGGCGCAGGACGAGGCGTGTCAGCACTGCCTGGGGGGGGAAATGCTGCAGGGCTGTGGAGTAGGAAAAGCTCCTGCTTTTATCAGCTTCTCTTTGAGTCAATAACAGGATGTGTGTAAAGGGCACGAGCTGCTCCTGCCTTGCAGTGCAGTGCAGGTAAAATTCAGCAAATATGGGTAACAAACAACCTGCTGTACGATCCGTCCCGCTGAGGTGCTTTAAATGACACCTTATTGGAGTTTGCTTGAAGAAGCCGTGTTGGTGTACGTGCACAGGGAGCCAGTCTCTGTGTCTCCCTTGAATTGCACAGGAAAACTCTGCTGCCTAAGCTGTCTTCTTGAAATAACTTGTGTTGAACTCTGTGTAACGAAAGCAAGGTGCCCTGTGTTCAGTGCCGTTTGCGGTGTTGCCTAAGAAGTAGATCCATGAATCGCGGGGTTGCGATTTTGATAAATCTCCTAGCAAGTTAACAGCAAGGGTATCTTGTCTTCTGAAATAAATATTTTGAGCTACACTGCTAAAGGGCACAGCAGGGGAGAGCTGCGACTGAAAATTAGTTCTGGAGTGCTTAACGGGTCTGCCAGGATGATTTCTGTGGCTAAACATGATTACTCTTTTTGAGGAAGAGAGGGAGCCTTGGCTTGAACTCTTCAAAAAGAGTAAAGGATTATCTCTTAAGAAAGATAAAAAAAAAAATGGTAGATTTCCTGTCCTGCTTAAAAGAGGAGGCAGGGGGCTTTTCCACCACAGGCAAGCAGTTCTCAGTCGGCCGTTCCTACACCAGCATGCGATTTACACGCACACTGTTAAATATCAGTCCCAAAGCTGCACTTGTGTGGTTGCTGGGAGGGGTGATGGAGAGCTGCATTTTAGGTATGTGTGACCGTGTACACAAGTAAGTCGTGCAGTGTGTTGTTTAGCTAGACAGAGGCTAACCATACCACAAATAATGTCTATTGTAGATATAATTAAGGGAGCCCTCGCTCCATTTAACGTGTGCAGCATTGCTGTACGAGGCTTGCAGCAAGCTTTATTGGAGTATTTAGGTCTCGACTTGTCAAGCTCTTCCTGTCGCAGCGCTCACTGTTTCTTCCAGAGACCGATGCGTGCATGGTGCTGAGGTTCAGCTGTGGTCCAACCACACGACCACAGCGCATTAGGCTGTTGAGTGGATTAGCACATCTGTTCCTTACGAGAAATTTGAAAATTGGGTCAAGTGATAAAATACCAATTCATTAACCTATGGCACATGTCCGACCTCTCTGCGTGAATCTTTTCTTTTAATCAGTGAAAAAATATTTGAGTAAGTTAGCCTCTTAGCAATGGATTTATTTCTTTTTCCACAAGTTGTGACATCTTTCACGTGTACTTGTCTGCCCTGCTTTGTTTGTTTGTGTGTGTTTCCTAGCTCTTGTAAATGAAATCATGTCTTACACCGCCTGCTTATGCAGCAGCAAGCTGTGTGAGTGAGCAGCATTTAAAATCAGTATTAGCATCTGAGAGCTGGCTATTGTGAAGCTGTTCTGGTGGGCTTGTTTTTCTCCAACTTTTCTTTGTAATTTCAGGAGGCCCCTGGGATTTCACCTTCAATGTCAAGTTTTACCCACCAGATCCTGCACAACTGACAGAGGATATAACGAGGTGAGTTCCCTGCTACTTGTGCTACCAGACAGTGAGCTTACTGAGCAAAGCTGTGACCACTTTTGGGAAACCACAGGAACTGGAAGATTGAGTGGAAATTGTTAATACGAAAGTGTTATTCCACCCTTCAACAGGATGATCAATGTCTTGAGGAACTGTTTGGAGGGGTTATTGTTGTTTGGTTTTAGTGGCTGTGTGTGTGGGGATGCTCCTTCTCTTCACTGAAGTCCACCTGCATAAAGCAGTGTCATTGATAATCCTGGCACGTGTATATTTGAATACAAAAGTACACTTCTGTTTTAAAATAATTTCTTCTGATAGTAAGTGTCTGCTTCTTTTCCAGAGTGGAGGTGACCTTAGGTCCTTCTGTCCTCCATGCTCTTGACTGTGTTGAATGTTGCTCCATAATTAAAAATACATGTTAGAGACAAACATCATGCTTCATTCATCAGCAGTATAAAAAAGATGATGTTCAGTGCTTGGGAACAAGTTTCTTAAGGTCACTGTGTTCTCTATAAAGAGCTTTTTTCATTTTTATTCCCCAAAGGTATTACTTGTGTCTTCAGCTTCGACAAGACATCGTTACGGGGCGGCTGCCTTGTTCGTTTGCGACTTTGGCTCTGCTGGGCTCGTACACAGTGCAGTCCGAATTGGGAGACTATGACCCTGATCTACACAGCGCAGATTATATCAGTGAATTTAAATTGGCCCCAAACCAGACTAAAGAGCTTGAAGAGAAGGTTATGGAACTTCATAAAACATACAGGTGAGGTACAATGGCTGGAGAATTCGTTTGTGCACGGCAGCATGAAGGCAGCAGGTGGAATAATGGGGCTTTCTCGTATTTTTCCCACCTCTGTTGTATGGGTTTGGTTTCATGCTGCACCAGTTTTTATGGCAGCAGCTTTAGCAGTAAAGTGTGAATTTTCAGCTACTGAGAAAATCAGCTAATCTAAAAAGATTTCATAGTTTAGAGTTATAACAGAATCCTTCCAGTATATGGAATTCTTTCTTCCTGCTTGAAGAAAAAAACATGCTTTTAGTTTAGTTTTGTTTTTTAACAGGTGTTCCATGTGGGAGCTCCTTCTCAACAGTATCCATGAAAATGGATTTTACTTCATGTGAAAATTCAAGTTTGCTTCTTTTAACCTTGTTCTTTGTCTTTTCATATTTTTGCTCTTGGATTTATGTAATTTTTGGATTGTAATCTGGTTGGAACAGATCCTGTCTCTTTGTGTAGCCTGCAGCATGTTTGGGGTTTTTCTGCTCCTCATTAAGTAGCGTGTTATAATGTGGAAATATTCCAGATAATGCTCGAGGTATGAAGCTGCAGTCAGGCTGTCCTCCTCATGTTTCTGAGTGTGGCAGTGACCTGGGCAGATGTGTCTTGGCCTGGTGAGGTTAGAAGACTCCTGGGAGTCCTTCTGATATGAGATTTGAGAGTCATAAAAGCAGAACCTCTTCCTCATCTTATTTTGAGCTTGTTTTTCTAGATGCTCTCGAGTGGTTTGATTGCAGAAGCTCCGCAGAGCTTAGTGACATGGGGAGCATCCGTGGCGTGCCAGCAGCTTCTGCACAATTCACAGTTCACAGTTCAGATCAGTCCATCTGGGCTTTGGGGGAAAAAAGCCCATAAAACTGTTCCCAGATACTGAGGCCTTGTGGAGCCCCTTGACCTGCAGAAAGGTGCAGGTTGTGACACTAATAACGAGAGCAGAGCAGAGCAGAGACCTTCTCGCAGGCACATGGAAGCTAATAACCTAAGTGCAGCACTAGAGGGTGGACAGAGGCCCTGGCTGTTACCAAAGCTACAATTAACACCTCACTCAACCCCGCAAATCGATACTCTAAATTGATTCCCCTCCATTTGCACTGAGAGGCGAGGAAATGAGGGAAAATAAGTACTGGGCCACTGACAGGCGTCATGACTTGAAGTCAAAGGCCGTCAGCTGTCCTGGAAGTGGCAGATCGCATTGCTGAATTATTCATGGCTGCATTACAAGGCTGCTTCACAGTATGGGATGTAGGTTTATTTAATGAACTTGTGTGTGCAGGAGGAAGGTTATAATCTGTCCCCACTTCATTTCTCGTCCATATTCTAACGTTAAACTGTCAGAGGGTTTCCAGTGAAAAACCTACCTGCTGAGCTATGCTCTGTCTCTTGCTGCTTTATTTGCAAAGCACAAAGCGTGTGCTGGAGATGGTCACTGCTCCCAGGTCCTGCACAGGGCACTGTCCTCACTGTGCTCATTGTCCAGCACCACTAAATACCTCTATTTGCATTGCCCACGAGATGTATGCGGGTGTTCGGTAAGAAAGACATCAAAGCCGCGAAGAAAATGAAATGTGTGCAACTGAATACTCCCCCAGCAGAGCTGTTGGAGGCACCTTGCACAACAGAAACTTATTAACAAGGGCGCTTCAATAACACCGATAATAGCCTCCATTATCAGGATGTTTCTCTTAAGGGAAGTTCTGATGTGTTGCCTCTCCTGCAGACAGGGTACCATCTGTTCCCAGAAAACGGCTCATTCATCTAGTCTGCCCCAGCAGGAATCTCTGCTAAGTGATTTCAGCTGCCCTTGCCTTTCCTTTGGAGAACAATAGCTGGGTTTGGGAAGGTCCCAAGGCGGTACTTCTAGGTGCACACTACGTGTCACCCCTTGCCTTCAGCTTAATTGGTGTTTCTTCCACAGCATCAGGTTTTGTACCCTGCACTTCCTTGCCACAGAGCTTGCTTTCAAGGCTGGTGTCTGTAGTGCTCCGCAGAAATACGGTGCATGTGTTCATGAGGATATCTCAAAGCACAAATTTGTGCATTCTGAGTAACTTAATAATTAATCATCTGGGCACAGATTTGTTTGTGTTCAAAGCAAAAGATCTAATGAGTAAATGGTTCTGTGAAGTCTGATGCGTCCCCTCTTAACTCTCCTTTTATGAGAATACCAAGCCCTTCCTCTCTTTCCCCAGATCCATGACTCCAGCCCAAGCAGATCTGGAATTTCTTGAGAATGCAAAAAAGCTGTCCATGTACGGAGTTGACCTTCACCAAGCCAAGGTGAGAATCAATGTGTGTGCACCAACTGTAGATGTTGTAAATTGACCGTTCTTCCCTTGGTAGGAGCAAGTTTACCCATTTCAGGAAGCTCCCTTTGAAGGATATAGGAAGTAAGCTGGCTACTGTTACAAAAGCATAGACGCGGAAAAGAAATGCTCCAAGCATTGTTGCAAGCATTGTAAGAGAAGTGATTCTTCCTGATTGCTCATTATTTAAATATTATAGGAAGCTTTACAAAGCTGCTGATGTACACGGCTCCTCGCTCTGAGGAGCCTGCGAGGTGAGCCACTCCCTGTGAGGTGAGGCACTGCTCTCAGGGACGTGCAGGGTAGGCTCCAGGCACAGCCCCTTGAGCAAACAGCATCACAGAAGGGAGGAGACTGCAAGAAATGTGAAGGAAGTCTGGCCCTGGCTGCATAAGGAGCTGAAAATGGGAGTCTGGGAGATGGGGGGATGAATTAAGAGCTTCATGGAAAGACAAAATAATTTGAAGTAATTTGGAGGACAGACATTGACCTGAAACTTGTAACCCTAATGCCAGTCTCCACTTAAATCTTCCCTTTCTTTCTCAGGACTTGGAAGGAGTGGATATCACTCTGGGAGTCTGTTCCAGTGGCCTTCTTGTTTACAAAGATAAGCTGAGAATCAACCGCTTTCCTTGGCCCAAAGTCCTGAAGATTTCCTACAAACGCAGCAGCTTCTTTATTAAGATTCGGCCAGGGGAGGTACGTTGTGACTTCCTTGGGTTGTTTTGTTCAACTACCTTCTGATTATCACCAACTAAACAAACTGGAAGGTAGCAAGCTTTCTGCTGAGTGGGCATTTTACACTCTCCTGTGTTTCTGTTCTTGACTTGGTGGCAAGTTCTGCTCTTCAAGTCGAGTGCAACTTTGCTGAAGTGCTAAAAGAAACGGTGGAAGCTTTAAGGTGTCATCCAGCACCACCTCCTGGCACAGCGTGGTATTCCCACATCCAGGCTGAAAGCAGTTCCCAGCTGAAATTGATAGAGGACTTCCTCCTTTTTTTGGAAACATGGCAATTCAAAGGCTTTTTGTCTTGCTTTCACTTAAAACAACAACAACAAGGAAGCAAATACACATCCAGCGCAGTGCTCTTGGGCAAGAGCTGCAGGCAGGGCAGGTCAATGGGCTGGGGACCGGGCTTCTTGCCACATTTACTTCTTGCTAAACCTAAATAACTTGTGTTTCCTGCAGCAAGAACAGTACGAAAGTACAATTGGATTCAAGTTACCGAGTTACCGGGCAGCAAAGAAGCTGTGGAAAGTTTGTGTTGAGCATCACACGTTTTTCAGGTGAGTTTTCTAAGCCACAGGCTTGTCTTTGTCAGTGTCGACTAACTAATGCTGTAGGTGAAAGCAGAAAATGAACACTCATTCAGTGTTCCTTAGGGTTCAGCAACAACTAGAGTGAAATAATTGCAGGGAAATTGTTTGTTGCAGTAAATTTCTAGGCAGCTTCCACATGAGGTCTTCTGTTTTATGTAGAGGTGGTGATTATTGTTGGTACGTGTTGTTTTGTTAATTGAGCATATGCAGACACTGCTTTAAAATTAAAATAATACAAATGTCTTTTAATTTCCCTTGACGTGCTGCTTCCTAGATCTAGAGGCATGCTTTTAAAATGTGCGTGTGTGGTTTTCAGGCTGACTTCCACCGAGGCCATCCCCAAGAGCAGGTTCCTGGCACTGGGCTCCAAGTTCCGCTACAGCGGCCGAACGCAGGCGCAGACCAGGCAGGCGAGTGCCATGATCGACAGACCTGCGCCCCAGTTTGAGAGGACAGCGAGCAAGCGGGCCTCCAGGAGCCTCGACGGAGGTTGGTGCCTGGCGCTTTGTCGCTTTCCAGCAGCGTCCTGGCTGGATCCAGCACGATGCTGCTCACTTGCTGTGTGTCTGACTCTTGCTTTGATGAGAGGTGAAAGGTGATTTAGTGGATTTAGAGTTTTGACTACTTTGAAAATTTTTAAGTACTACTTAAATACTACTAGATTGCATTCTTTATTTAAAAAAGAAAACAAAAGTATAACTTCTCACTTTAATACCTGGATATAAAAGATAAACTTTTCACTTTAATACCTGGATATAGAAGATAAACCAAATAGTACCACCAAGAAGTGGCTGACAAAAATGGTGCATGGATGTAGGTGGGTGTTGAAGGTTTATTGCAAAGTTCTGGTATTTCCTCGTTCAACCTCAGCATGTTTTCCTCTTAGCAAATCAGGAATTAACCTATACCAGGATGTTTGTTTAATGTAGCTTCTTAAATTACATTGTTTTCCTCAAGGGGGAGAGTTTTGCCACTCCTGTTTGAAACTTTGTTGGTGTCTGTTAAAGGGATGCTAATATTGGAGCTGGTGGCACATCGATTAGGTGTGCTCTTCCCTGACGTTTCTAAACGGTAGCAGCAGACTAGAGGAGGTGAGGTGTGAAAGGGGGAGTGCGTGAGTTGGTTGCCCGTGAGCTGGGTCGTGGGGTGCTTGTAAAATCAGGGCCCGGGGCTGCAATCCCGTGCCTGAATGTCAGAGCATGGAAAGAGCAGCCTGGGAATGTAACGCTTCTGTCCGGGTTGAAGTCTGCAGCCTTTCTCCATCTGCTGTGTGGGCAGTTGTTAACATGTGCGCCATTTCTTCAGCTAAACGTGCGACTCAAAAAGTTGAGTTCAGAGCCGTAGAGGAAGAGAAGCAGGAGGAGGTGGTGGTGGTTGAGGTTCCCGAACCAAAACCCGCGGATCAGTTCCGAGAGAAGCCAGGTATAGCGGTGGTGGCTACAACTCTCCGCAGCGCCTTTCCTATCCTTTCCCCACTGAGACGCCTTTACATGCTTGTTCCTGACAACTCTGAAAAGTTTCACCAAACCTGGCGGCTTTCTTTTTCGTTTCTTTGCAAGAAGAGTTTCGCAGCCAGAGGATGGGCAGCTCTGGGAGACTTGTTAAATTTCTGCCTTGCACCTGGCTGGACAGCAATTTGGGGAGGTGGGGGAATGTTTAGGATGTACTGGCACTTAAGACCTGTCTCCTTAATAAATTTTGGTGGTTTTATAAATGTGGATTAGAAAACTTCAAATTTCTTTACCTGTGATCCTGAAACTTCTTGTAAAGCTTCTGAAAGACTTCATCCCTGGAACTGCTTGCAATTTTTAAGCCTATTTTGGTTTCTGTTGGTGGTTTTGAGAAATGCCTTCCATTTTGCTACATGGAGCCTAGATTTCTCTTAAGATAGGTATTATTAATAAATATTAACGCCCTCTAAACAGAGGTGTGTAGGTACAACAGTATATTTGAATATTAATGAGTGTATCAGCAGTCGTGGTGTCAAATATTTACTTTCTTCCTCACTTAAATAGGGAATGCCTGTGGTGTGTTAGGACTGGAGATAATTCATATGCAAATGCATTGTGTGTTTTTCTGCTTCCCTTCTTCTACCTTGAAGGTTTTACAGTGTGCTTGTGACATTGCTGCTTTTCTGGTCTGAAATCTAGATCAAGGTTTCCTTGAGTGACGTGGCTGACTCCTCTACCTCTGTCTCCCCTCTATTCCTACTAGTCAGCATAGCCGGGCAGTGAAAGCCTGTTGCTGTAAAAGCAGAAGATGGAAAGTTAGGATTTAAGACCCCAGGATAGATGGCTGCATGTTCTTAATTTTCAGATTTGAGAGCTGGGAGCGAGTTGAGGTGCTCGAGACCAGTTTTCCTGTCCCCCTAGAGCTCAGCTCTGTCCCTGTCTAGGAAAGAAGCTCGCAAAGCTTGTTCACGTTGCTTTTAACTCTCACCTGATCCACTGCTGGGACTGGCAGTGCCAGAAGGACTGACAGACAGTTGCGCTGTGGAGAATTATTACTAATCAACCCGGTATAGAAACTTGTTGCTGTTCTCAGACACTGCCTGGGCGAGGAATCTCCGCTCCCTGTCTCCTGCTGTGTGTCCGTGCCGGTCTCCAGACGCTTCACTAATGCATGCAAAACTCTTTCTAGCCAAGCACACGCTTGAAAATTTTGAAATGAAACCCATTGCAGAGGAGGAAGAGGAGGAGGAGGAGAAGGTAGAGGTGGCTCAGGTTCCCGTTGCCAAGCCAAAGCCGCCAGAACCGTTGCAGAAGCGGTCAGGTACAGCCGCAGCAGCGCGGTGTCGGCCGCCCGTGCTGCATCCTGCGGGGTTGAAGTGGTTGAAGTGCTGTAGGACAGAGGCTGTGCTGTTTGCAGTGGTGTTAACGCCGGTAAAATCGCAGCCTGGCTTTGCAGGTGTGCTGGGCCCTGCTGCTGGAACCCTGGAGTGTTTCCTACCGGGGTTTGCCTCTGTGTGAAACGCGAGTGGAGTGTCGTGCGGTGGCTTGGCTGTGTGCTGGAATTAACGGCAGCTTAATGTGTGGTGGCCTTCTAACACTCCTGGGTTGCTGTCCCTAAAAATCAGGCTGTGGGGGCCGCTCCTCCCCGGCTGGGTTTTCTTTCAGCAGCTTCGCAGCTTCACCCCTGTCACAACTCAAAACAAGGTCGGTTGTTACAGAAGGAGGAGACTGAAGGTGTGGAGGGGGTAACCATGAACTTCACCTGGTTTTGTGGATGTTATGGCAAACACTGACCCACTCCTTGCACTTGGTACCTCCTGCAGCAGAGCACACAGCAGTGACTGTGTTAGCCCCGAACCTGAGCACGTCTGAGAGTCTCCTACTGCAGCCACCCCTTCTTCTGACTCACCTCCTTCACCCTTTTTCCTCCTCTTGATACTTTTCTTCCCATTTTCTTGACCAGGATGTTAAAGATTGCTATTTTAAGTCGTGTACTTTGGAGTAGCGCATTGTACTGTGTTTAAATCCAGAGCAGCATATCAGAAGAGCTAGAGGTAGGTAATCAAGTAAACCTAACCAGAGTAACGCAGTTCTGGCCAGAACACAGCTCATCGCTGAATGGCAAAGGAAAAGCTGGGTGCCTTTTACCATTTTTGCCGTGTCTTGATGCTCTGAAGCACTGTGAAAGAAGCACAAGTCCCTAAAGAGAGGTGGCCTTGCAGATTTACTGGTGGCTTTATTTCCCTTTCTGTTTGGTCTTCAAGGTGCCATTTTAACACACACACAACATTTTTAGCCAAACATGTTCTTGGCAATGTTGAGATAAGCCCAGTTGAAGAAGAGGAAGAAAAATTGGTGGTGATGGGAGAATTAGAGCAGGACCTGCAGGAGCCGGGTACCACCACGACGGCTGTTCCCACAGCATGGTTTGTGTGTCATCTTCTAAGCCTGACCGGCTGCCATCTCACAGCCCCTGTGTACAACCTCTCCAGCAGCTGTCACTGCTTCTGGGGCATAAATAACACCAAGATGTTGGGCTGTTTGCCTTTGTGAAAGGATAACAAAATACCTGGTGCACGGAAATGAGCTGCTGTGCTGAAGAATGGCAGAGAGGATGCAGGGAGTGGTGATGGTTTGGGATTCTAGTGTGGATTGCAGCAAGACCTGGTGTCCAGGAGCTTGTTTTAAAAGTGGAGTTTTGGTCTAACTTAAAATTATAATTTCTTTTTTAATGCCCAATTTTATGGTGTCGTTGACTAGCTGGATGGACACTAGTAACCTAGTATTGGCTGTGGTAATTCACACAGTGTGCCTTTTCCTTTATAAACTATGACTCTGTAAATATGACTAGGTATATTTTTAGTGGAATGGCCCAAAAAGCAGCATCAGGAGAGCTAAATACTTTATCGTGTCTATAGATAAGCACCACAAATTACTTGCGGGCTGGCTTTGTTGCCTAGGATTAGCTTGAATATTGCTGGAAGTGTCAGCTCTCAGGGATCAGGAGTGTGTCTGGGAAGTCAGAACTCACGGAAAGAAGGAGGCAGATGATTTTGTGCATACCTAGTGCTCTTGTTTAAGACAGTCATCCTCCTGAAAGATGATTTCTTTGAAGCATGTTGTTAATTTCTGCATTTTCACCAATTTGGAGATAATGGATATCTTCTCAGGGTGGTGTCTTGTGCTGCAGCAGGAGTTACCCATCTCAGACCACAGCGTGAGTCTGCTTTGAAGGCCACCTGGACGTTGCTGTAAAGTTTTATGGAGAAATGCTTGTAGGGTTCGTTGTAGTAGTTTCTTCTTTGGATTGCTGAAAAGTTTGGGGAAATGGGACAAAAAACGGTGTTGCTCTTCTAGAAACCATCCGTTTCTGGTTGAGGACATCCAAAGGAGGTCAGGAATTCACCACAGCTCTTAAGTGTTTCTATTTTGAAGCTTGCATCGTAATGGACTTCTGTTCCGATTGTGTCTGAAAGACCTGGGAATCAATGGCACAACGTCAGAAATAGATTAGCCTTTCTGGCGTGGCTTCTCTGCAGAGTGCAAGCTTGCTTTTTGTAAACCATCTCGTGTGGGGTTTTATTTTATTTTATTTCAACCATAAGGAAAATAATCTCAACTTTCCCATACTAAACGCACAAGCTGCTTTGCTCAACATCTTCTTTCTTTTTCCCCCCTTTTCCCCCTTCTCCCTCCTCCCTTCCTCTTGAAACTACGGCACTGTAATTTGGGAAGACTTTGCCTGGAGCTTTGCCCGCTCTGAACCTTGTTGCTTTCTCTCTCTCCCCCTCAGCAGTGGCAGTGATAACACCCGAGAGGAGCCCCCGGCCCACCTCCGCCCCGGCCATCGCCCAGAGCCACCTCGCTGAAGCTGTCCCAGCTAAGCCCGATGCGAAGGAAGCCATCGCTGTGTCCAAAGCAGAAAAGGAAGCAGTGAAAGCTGAGACCAAGCGTGAGGAGATCCCACCAGAGAGAGCCAAGGCAGAGCCAGCTGATGCATCCAAGGTATGGCAGTCTGGGCTCTCTTTGGAAGAGGCTGGTGCCAGGCTGGAGCCGCAGCTCAAAACCAGCCCAAGCAGCAGCTCTGGGCACTGTCCCCTCCTGGGTAGTGAGGATGGGGATTCCTTGCCCAGGCAGTGGATGGGAGGGAGGTATGGGGATGTGGAGATATGGGTCTGAGAGAATTCCCAGCCCTGCCCCTCAGGATACAAAGAGAAGGATGTCCACGTGAAGGCAGGGTAGTTCTGCCTTTGGTAGTTCCAGCCTAAACCCGTCTTGCTGATACATCACTTAAAAAATGGGTAAGAATAGCACACATTGATATTTGAGTTCATGGTACTTGAATTTTGGGGCTCACCCTTTGCTAAGCTGTCTGCTGTTGGCTGGTATGACAGCAGGAGGGATTCCAGTGAAAGCACTGACACAGACCAGGTCTGCAGCCAAGCGTCTAAACATTTAATTTTTTTAAATTAATATGCTTTCCCTGGATGTTTCTGAAAACCAGGCAGAAACTTCCATTGCTAACGGTGCTGTTCAGACCTTAAAGGGGAGTTATTTAAATGAATTTTTTTAAAGAATGCTCACGCTTTCCACAGATGTCTGAGACCTCTGCTGGTGTCGATATGATACTGATATTGTGTATTGGTATTAAGTCAAAATGAGTTATAAAAAAAATTGTTCATATTACAGTGTCCTTAATATTCTGCAAATGTTATTGACTGGAAGCTTTCAGTGTTGCAGCTGAGGTGCATGCCTTGAGTTACAATTTCCACATTACCCAGAAGTTCAGTTGTTCTCTGCATTACTGGAGCCACATTTTTCCTGTGACATGTTCTGCATATGGCCTTGTATGCATAAAAGCCATTAGATGTATGGTCTTGTGTGCCATGCTCCCTGGGAGATCGCTGTCAGTTAGGGCTGGGGAGTGGAGGTGAAGAAAGGACAGCTGCTTTAAAAAATTTCTTGGTCTGTCTGGCCAGTTATTTCTAAATAAAAATGCTAAAGGAGATCTTCAGGACATTGCTTTGAGTATCCCTGTTCCTGCACGGCTGCTGACCCTCCCTAGCATTAAACTGAGAATAAGTACGTTTTATTCATCCCGTTTCCCTTATTACAGGTTTGTGGGTTTCTTTTTTCTTAAATGCTTAAATTGTGTGTTGTTTTTTTTTGCCTTTAAATGTAGATGTGGGGGGAAGTTGTGGATTTGAACGTGCCAAATTTACCCTGTTTCTCAAATGTAGCTGTATCACTTCTTTTAACACCCCCCGATGCTTTCACCTTCAGAGTATTTGGCAATCCAGTTTCCCTAAAACACATTCCTTAAAATGTTAAGACAATCTGGGCTCTCTACTCACGGTCAGTAAAGAACTAAATTTGTGCTGCTGGGTTCATTTTAAAGATAGGTCACTTCTTACTGACCGTATCACAGTATCCGTGCGTAACATCTCATTTGCTGGTTTTGGGAAGTTCTGCGTTGATCTGAACAAGTTGCTTTTGGTACCGGTCTCCCTGGGAGATCCAGCTGCAAATGAGGTTTTAAAACATCGCCTGACAAATCTAACCCAAGTGGGAAGCCAGCCTTCAGGAGCACTAGAGAGCACTAGCTGCAAATGCAAATACTTCTCAAGCTGAAAGAATTGTTTCGACTGTGCTGTTGGACTAACAGACTGATGGAGAGCTGCGGTGTTATTAACTCCTTCTGGCAGGCTGCATGTTGGTTTTTGCATGTTCACCCAGCATCTCAAAACCAACCTGATGCAGCTGTGTTTTGAAACTAAATTGTCTCTTGAAAAAAAAAAAGTCTACTAACAAGAAATGTTTTTACCAATTTATTTCTTAAATGTAGGTGAGGAAAACGCACATTGAGGTCACAGTACCCACCACGAATGGTGACCAGCCCCAGGTTTGTGCCGATAATTCAGTTAGGTTGCTCACATTTTTGAAGGTTCAACATGGTTAAATGAACCAACAATTTTTGTTTTTTTGTTTTTTTATCACTGCCACACAGCAGCAGCCTGCAGAAAAAGAGGAAGAACTGATAAGAATGAGGAAGGTTAGCCATTTTCCACTTTCACCAAACAAATTTGCCATATCATTCATGCATACGTAACCGATTTAAAAAGACAGTGCTCCAATTTCTTCATGTGCTTTGGGTTGGGTTTTTGTTTTTTGTTGTTTTTAAACTGCAACTATCAAATACTTGATTTCAAAGTGAACGGCTTTTTCCCATAGACAGTCTGACTGCTAAAATTTGCATGTTAAATGTTAGAGAGAAACATATACCTATAAACCTATATGACCTGTAAAATTTATCTTTGCTTCTCTGGAACAAATTTAGTTAGAAACCAAAGAAAACCGTTCAGGGTGCATTCCTGGAAATGCAATAAAAAAAAAAAAAAAAAAAAAAAAAAAGTTTAATACTTTTTTTTACTGATTGAGTTATAGGGGAAAAATTCAAGATGGGAAAGGTGTTTTAAGTATAGTTACTATGCACATTGAGACCGTGTAAAAATTGCACGTAGAGCACCAAACCAGCCTAGTACCCTGTGGCGGGCATGCATCACTATCAGGAATATGAAGTTCTGACTTCGTGCAAGGCTTCCACAGCAGCACAGTGAGCTGTCTCTTTGTGGAGAGCAGTCTAAAGCAATGCAAAAGCCGATGAAACACTGGGAGCTGTCTCTTTAAAGGACCCATTGCATTTTCCCATTCTCATGAGCCCCAACTTCCATTTCCTGGTGGTGACTCGGTGCAGGCGTTCTTGTGGCTCCGTGGCCCATCCCACACCGGCACAGCGCTGCGCTCCAAACGTTGAGTTAACTTTTTAATTTGCCAATTTGTGAATCCCGCAAGAACAACATTTTAATTTTTTGTGCTTTTCTTTTTTTTGTTCCCCCTTTTCTTTCATTTTCACAGAAAAGATCAAAGAGACTAGATGGTGAAAACATTTATATCAGGCATAGCAATTTAATGTTGGAGGTTTGTATGAACTTGAAGCTTTTTTCAGTTGCGTTTGCCTAGACCTTCTGCATTCTGTGCTGAACTTTTTCTTCCTCTTCTGCTGCTGCCGCCTTTGTTTTTGCATGCCATTGCATGAAAGACTTTTTTTTTTAAGTACGCTTTTGCATGCTGACAGTAAACATGACAATGCACAAGCATTCTTCCTTCTACCTCTTCTGACTTTCATTCTCTCATACTTACCCAAAATATATGATTGGCAGAGCCATGTGCTCAGCCTGCTCTGTTCTTAGACCCGTGGGTGATGAGCTGGGTGCTCCTATCGGCACGAATTGTGGTGGGAGTGCTCATCTGCAAGTCTCTCCTAGCCTGAAATAAATGATTTTCTTGCGAGCAAAGACAGTCTATAAAAAAGTGAATTAAATTTCAGTGACCACCATGGCCTTCAGGCCACTGGGCCAGCCACGTTGCTTAAAGCAGAGGCACGAACCAGCCCATCTTCCAGCTGGGGCCACGTGGGACAGTCGCTGTGAGCCTCCTGTGACCTCCCTCTTGCCTTGCAGCATCCCCAGCAATGGCTTGGTGCTGAGCCCCTGGGGCTGGCCTGGTGGCTCGGGGCGATGTGTGGCTGCAGAGCTGTTCCCTTTGGCACTGGGAGCCCTTCACCCTTGGTTCCACCCAAGCACGGTCTCAGAACAGAACGTGCCAATCATATATTTTCCTACACACCGTGTTACAGAAGACGTTTGTGGCTTCTGGTTCTCTGTTCCTGCCTTACGTGTTTCTACTCAACCTTGCAGCACCAGCAGCTGGTAGGGTTTCCCTGTCGGTATCTCTCGAAAGTTGAAGTGTACTAACGGCCTTCTCCTAATCTGAATTTTACACGTTTTGCAGCTTTGGGGTTTTTTTTTGACTGCTACAATTTAAGCTTTCGGACACGAGCGAGCGGTCAGCAGACGGGCAGAGTTCGGCCACCGCCAGCGCGCTGCGAAGACTGTGCCTGTCGCTTTCTTTAGGCCAACGCGAGCAGCTCCTCCTCCCCTCCTCCACGCAGAGCTTTTACCTACACGTTGCTCCTAAATGGCTTTTTCCTATCAGTGTGGCACTGGGCTCTGCTCCCTCGCCCGCCTCCACCCGGTTCTGTTGCAGGTGCTCCTGCCCTCGCCTAGAAGAGGGCTGGCCCCGGCGCCTCCCCCCTTTTGCTCCTTTTTACTCCCTGCGTTTGGCAGATCGGGTGACTTCCAGCACAACTGCTTGCAGAGAAGTACTCCACACTCACTGCTGCTTGGTTTTATGGAAAGCCATTTAACGCTCAGTGCTCAGCAACCCGCGCTCCGTGGTCTTAGGAAAAGGCAAAAAGACGAGGGAGAGCTTAATGCTCCGAGAGCTTGTTCCTTAAGATGCTTTTTGAGACCGGTTGTGGCTTCACGTGTCACTCCGGGGCTTTAGCTTCTCTGCAGACTCTCAGGACCAGCTCGTGGCAGGCAGGCGAGGGGCTCTCTTCTCTCAGCCAGGGGCAGCCGGAGGGCTCCTGGACCCACGCAGGGGTCCCAGCAGCCGACTTTACCGCGGTGTCCTCAGCAGACCTATTCGTGCTTCTTCTAATGAGCAAGCACTTGCCTCGTGCTTTTATCTGGGACAGATGCCAAAGCTGTTGTTTCCCCAGCACCGTGCCAAAAAGAGCAAATGTTGTTAATGAGGCGGTTGGGGCTATAACCCCGTAAACTGAAGGTGGCGTGTCCTGGGTACGCTGCAGGAATGCAGGTATCGGGGTGGGGTGGAGGGGGGCTGCCTTTAGGGATGCATTTGCTTCCAGAAGCACTTGTTCTCCCATCTTCTAAAATCTATGGGCTGAGTCACAACTAAAAGCATAAAAAGAGCGAAATCTGCCAGTGATGCTTCTACTGACCTTACTTTCCCCTTTTCTAATGAGTGAGCCTTGCTGCTTTTTGGCACTGTCCAGAAAAGTTGTTGTTTGGCTTAAGCCTATTTTATGCAAAAGCTTCATTTTAAACCAACTGTTTTGCTTGCAAGGAAAGGCTATTTCTGAACACATCAGTCGAACTGAGCTGACTTGCCTTGAAGTCTGTGCATTTATGCTGTAAACTGGCATTGCAGAGTAGAAATCCGGCTCTTTTCCAGATCAATAATTTCAGCAGGAGTTTCCTGATAAACAAATAAAAAACATAAAGCAAATTCTCAGCTCAATTGTAGAGGTCTGCCCTCTCATCTTCAGTTCTGAAGGCTAAAGCTCTTATGATAGCTCCTGGAGATGAGAGGAGAAAAAAAAATAAAGTGATGGGGGTGTTCTGGGACCACAGATAACTTCTGATAAGATGACAGAATAGATACAAAGAGAATGAGTGAAATTGGAAAAAAGTTCCTTAACTTTAACTGCATTTGTACCCTTGAAAAGTCAGGCTAGCAGAAGGAAAAGAAAGCAAACCCACCCAATTTAGAAGCCTGAAATTGAAGAACCCAAACAAACTTAGTCTTGCAATTCAGTAAATCCCACGTGCCGAAATCCCATGAGCTAACAACTCGGCTGTCATCTGTTTCGGTGTAGCTTGAGCTGAAGTGACGGCAAGTCTCGCTCCTGGCAGACACCCCGCTGTGCTGGTTGCAGATTTGCTCCCTACAAGACGAGAAAGGAGAGAGGACGTTCCCTTGGTGTGTTTACAGTGTGAGCACAATTGATGGAAGTCGGCAACATCTCTGCTGAGTGCAGCTTTGCTATGTGGCAGCGTAGGCAACTGTAGGTGCTTGTTTCTGTCCCTCCCCATTCATTCTGTCCTTTCGCTACTAGGATCTAGATAAGACCCAGGAAGAAATAAAGAAGCACCACGCCAACATCAGCGAGTTGAAGAAGAACTTCATGGAGTCTGTCCCGGAGCCTCGGCCGAGTGAATGGGACAAACGTTTGTCCACTCACTCCCCCTTCCGAACGCTGAACGTCAACGGGCAGATTCCCACGGGAGCGGACGGAGTGAGTACCCTGAGGCTGCGCGGGGGGAGGCTCGCTGCGTGCCCTAACGTGCTGCATCCAGGGACGGCCTCGCGAGCTCAGGTCGAGCCTCAGCTCCCCGGAGCTTTGGTTCCATCTGAGGTGACTTTTAACATGCCTAATGGTCTCTGAGAGAATGACTGCTTTAGTTTTAGGATCGTAAAACGTGATTTATTTTTGTGAATTGTATAAAAACGTGGGAATTCTTCACCTGGTTTCGATAGTGCTTTTCCTAGCATTGCTGTCATCCATGCTGATAGCATATTTCATATGGTTTGACTTATTCCTGGTGTCCCCCAACCCCTCAAAGCCCTAAATTGAAGGGAACATTGCAGGTAATGCAGTGCAGGAACATTCGCATGCCATCAGTTTCAAATGTCAATCTCCAGTTAATCCAGTCACTGGGTTTAGTCTTGCACTGGGATCTGCGAGTGCACGCAGGTGTGAGGTGTGCTGCGATGAGAGCAAAGCTGTTCCTACCTGATGGAAAGCTTTCTCCTTGCAGAAGCACTGCCTGTATGTCAGTAGCCACGTACATTCACAGTCCCCTCACTAATTTCCTCCAAAAAACCCCAGCCTTTTCAAAGAAATGGAGATGGAGCAGCAGAGATGTCTGCCAGCTTGTTTCTTCTTTGATAATAGGCAGCTTCTCTCTTTATATTAATACTGGCGCTTCCTGGCTCAGATTTGAAGCTTGTGAGTGAAAGTGGTAATCAGTCCCTTAAATAATGAATGAGATTTTCATTAAAACTGAAAAATTGAATCCTGACTGCAGCAAAGGCAGTCGCAGAATCTCTCCTGCTTTAACCCTAGCTTCTCCCCTTCCTGCCCACAGCTCCGCAGGTAAGTTTCCAGGTGCTCTTCATCCCACTGCGAGGGTGGCGCTTGTTAAACAGAAATAATCTTGCAGAGGATGGAGGGTTATCAGAATGGATACGAGGGGCTTTAGTGGCCAAGTTTACTACAGACTCCTCAAAACATAAAGGCCGTGAAAATTGTAGGGATTTTTTTCCTGTTATCAAAAAAATTTCCCTCCCACACCCGCCAAATTAATTTGTTGTCATTTTTGGAATTAGCCTGTATAGCACCTGGATGAACTTCACCCTTTGGTTGCTGCCTTTTAGTGCAATTTCTGCAGGAATTGGCAAAGCAGGGCACAGCAGAGCGACACAGAGCTCTGCCTGCTGTACCAAGTGTTTTATGGAGTGCAGGTGGAACAGAGCAGGGGCTCTCAAGCTCAGCAGCTGCAGTTTGAGAAAGAAATTCTTGGTTATTCAGGAGAAATCCTTGCGTGGTGATGGCATGTGAGGTCTTAGGGGGCTGCTGTGCACAATACTGGATGATGTGGGCTTGGAAGGCTGCAGTGCACCACAGTGACATGAAGATTGGGGTCAGCCCTTGATTTGCATTTCTGGAAATTCACTCTGCCTCTTAATATGCTCCTTTGAAGCAGCCTCATCTCTGCGATGGAGGTGGACACATTATGCCATGAACTTCCAGAAATGCATCTTTGAGATGACACCTACCGGGAAGGAATTTTTACGTGACCTGCACATCAGTGTATGATGTTTAGGGCTGGTGAATAATGCAAAGCAATCCTATTTCTACTGCTCACGGTGGTATCATAACCCTGCTGTGGTGGTGAAGGGGTGTTCTGCCAGGGGCTGCTTTTCTGCTGTTCCTGTATGTTTTACTGCAAGACAACTGAACCTTACACGCTTTGTGTGTCCAGGTCAAGAAAGTCACTGTCCTATCTTCTGAGAGACAGGTTGGTGGGCTTGAGGTAAAGCTGCTGTTCGGATATGTGCTGCTGAACCAGATTTTTGCTATTGCAATGGCACCGAGCAAAAACTCGAGAGCAGCTGCTGGATAACATTTTTCTTTTGGCTACATGGAGTAGTTTCATAACTCACAGCCTAACACTTGAGAGGACTTTTTGCACTGCTGCAGCTTTTGCAGCTTTCAATTTGCTTCCTTTGGTGCATGGCTGGTTGGAAAAAAGCTGCATGAAAGATGTAACCGTGTATTTGGAGAGAAAAGCAATTATGAAAGATTAACTGTACCCTGTTCTTTTTATGTTGTCTTTCTTTCCGTTTTTGTTTTAATGATCATGTTACTCTTGCATTTTATATTTTCTTTTGCTGCCCAGTCTCCCAGCTACTTTCTCCCTGATACTCAGCACTTAGGGGTGTGCAAAGAACCAGTCCCAAAATACCGCACTGACCAGAGGAGGCTAGCTCAGCTGAGAGAGCTTAGAGCCAAGTTCTTTCTTTCTTAGGTGCACTTGGGTTTGACCACAGCTGCGGACCTGAAGGGCTGGAGAGCCACTTGGCCAGGTCGCAGCAACACTTCCCACAATCTTGTCTTTCTCCAGCGAAAGTGCTAGAGCCCTTGCATGATCCCGTGTGATGATTTATTCATTCTGGGTTTTCACATTCTCGAGGCTCCAGAAACAAAAGTGCTAAAACGCAGAGCGAGATTTCAGGGCTTTGGAGCACTCGTGCTGGCAGCCTGCCTGTTCCACGCTCGGGATTTCTAAGATGTAAAAGTTTTTCACTTGTTCCAGTAGAATTTTCAAAAATTGAAATTTTGATACTCTTGTCAGAACTTTCAAAAGATAATTTTGTACCTGCACTGAAGTCTAAATGTTATTTAACAAAAGCTATTTTTTAAGGGCACTGTAGAATAGGAAGTTGTCAGAGACCACGTTTTGTACTACACCGTTTCTCTTGGTAATGCCACAAAGCTCCCTTTCTGCCGAACCATTCCAATTCCAAACACCCTTTAGTAGGCTTCAACCATGCGCTTTTCTTGGAGGGCAGTTGCAAAACACACGTGGATCGTGATGCAGGGATCCATGAGCTCTGTAAGAGAACCATATTTTGCAGCTCGGGTGGCAGGGTGATTCGAGCTCTAAATAATAATAAATAAATAAATAAAACCTCTGCTTTTAAGAGCAGTTGATCAGCATGTTGACAGGAAGACTGTCCGAAAACTTTGCACACCTCCAAGTGTCACGTTGGGCACTTTCCATCTGTCATTTTTGTTCATCTCTCTCTGTCTTTCTTGATCTTCTACCACGAAAGCAGACACAGGAACGTCCTCTGTTAGTACAGGATGAAGACAAACTAAAAAAGCAGGAGATACCTACTGAGACAGCCTTTCCCCGGCAAGCAAGTGAAGAAACTCTTCCAAAGGTTTCTATTCCAATTCCTGAAGAGCAGAAATCCCTCAAAAAGTGTCAGCTGTACTCTAGTATTTTTCCTTCTCCGCGTATTCCCTTTATGATGTCTTTTCTTGTGGTGATAGCACTGACTATTTGGTGGCTGCTCTTTCTCTGAGTGGGAACAGGGTCACACTGAAACCTCAAGACCAAAGCTCCTGAATCTCTTGGCCGTAGCCTCTGCTGCATCTTCCTTGTCCTGGTCTTTGATCTCCGTAGTTTGCTGTCCCGGGGAGGGACGTCCTGCAACGCTAGTGTTAATCCCTCTGTCTTTATTGTGGAGCTGTGATCCGGGGCCTGGCAGGAGTGGTAATGGATTGCCAGATCTATTTTGACATTTCCTAGAGCTCTGCGCACAAAAACGAATTCTCTAAATCATGTCCCCAATTTCAGAGGCTTCAGCTGTAAGAGGGCAGGCTGAGAACATAAATCCATGGCAGGGGGTGTTTGCCTCTGCAGCCCTTCTCGACTTAATGTAGCAATTGCTGAAGACTTCTTTTAAGCTCGTTGCTTTGAACGTAAGCTGTTCACAAGCAGAGGAACATTTGATAGTGATCCAAAAGCCTGAAGAGGCTTCACAGCAATGTGCTGAATCTAATCCATAACCACTCCTTTTCTAGGAAACTGAGATTGGCATTTAAATAAAAAGTGTTGATTGTCAGTGCTGCTATTAGTGTTAACTTATAGACAGGGACAGGCAACTTTTTGATTTTCCCAGTGGGAAGCCTTCTGCAAAGCATCAGCTTCCCTCTCGCACCCAAGTTCTCATTTCAAAGAAAATCCATCGCGTTGTAGAAGAAAATCCATTAGAAGGAACTACTTATTGTAAACATAGATTAATCATTTTTCTGAACCTGGTGGTCTTGGTGCACTCCAGATGTGTTTTTTAACTTGTTGTGAGCTAACTGAAGCATGTTTGCTTAGGTCACAGGAATGGAATAACCTGTTACACGTCGCCTTGTTAGCATGTTGGCTTTCCCACTGTTTAGTTCACCCCAACGTGTAAAAAGACAATTGTGCTCAGGACACGGTTCTAACGTTAAAGCCATCAATTGTTTTGACTTCCTTAACAAAACCGTTGCATGCTGCTTGTTGTTTATTGCCTACAAATGTAAATGTCTGGAAAAATGCTCTCGTTTATCCAAGTTAACTTGATAGTGAATGCGATCGAGCTGCGAAAGATGCGAGAGGAGTTGCTCTGCCAGGCTGAGCACAAGAGGTTTGCGAGCTGGAGGGCAGATGGGACTTTGTGTCTAAGGGGTTTCTTTTCTGTATATAGCAATTATGGGGCTGAGCTGAGCCAACCGCTTCTCCTTCCAGTAGCAATGTGCTTTCTGTTGCTTTCTCTAGAGTATTGGTGTAGAAGCAGTTACTTCTGAGAACAGCCACCAGTGCCAGCAGTGTTGGCAGCTGCTCCAACAGCATAAAAGAGAAAGGAGTAGAACTCTATTACAGGGACTAAAAAGTGTGAATATATATAAATATGTGTATTTATAACCCTTTATAGGTCTGTATCTGTGTGAACAGTGTACTGTAGGAAGCTAGCAAATACGCTTACAGGAAAAAGACGCAAGGCAATTAAGGTTTGTGCACAACTTGGCATGTGCTGCCTGGTCGGAAGGATCCTAGCATATCACGGACTATTTGAGCTGTCTCTTACTCTCAGCGTGTAGGCTGAGGCTCTCTAAACTCTGTCTCAGAAATTTAGGTTGCGAGTGGAACCCTTTGTTTTGATCTCCCAGGAATCTTTCTGATCCGACCACTCTGTCCCCAGATCTCATACCGTGCTCCGATGAGTTCACCAGTTTGTGCCTTTAGGACTTTGTTTTCTCTGAATGCTGATTTTCCTCGGAAAGTATTCTTCCCTTTTTAATACACTGCCTTTGATACACAGTCTTCCTCTTTCAGCAGCAGAAATAGCAGAAGGAAATGGGTTGTTCAGCGCTGTATGGCTACAGGTGTGGTGCAGCTGGATGGAGAGCTGCCTCCTCCTGCCTGTGCAGCAGCCGTGGCCGCTCGGTGCGATGCAGGGTTCCAGCACTGCTCGGGATGCCCGTGGATGAGATTCAGGAACATTATCTTGAGAAAGCAGGCCTTGGAGAGGAGAGGTAGGAAAGCTAAAGAAGGATGCTGAGGTGCCACATGCAATGCAGAAGATGCAGGATGGAAGAAGCTTTCCAAAAAGTTTACCCTTCAAAAATTGGAGCAGACATAAGGAAAAGCAGGGACCATTTGTCCTCCACAGCATGATGTGGGGAGGGAAGGGACAGGGGATGTTCAGATCCTTCTCTTTCCTTTTTCTGTCTATATTTCAGGGAGAAGAACAGCTTAAACATGAACCTTTTAAAAAGCCATTGCTCAGGTTAGCTGTCACGGTGCTGTTTGAGGATTGCTGCATTGAGCACTCTTTGGGTTACTGCGCACCAACCGATGACAAATTCCTTGAAGCCATAACAGTGGCTTTTGCAAAGCCCTGGTTTCTGCAGCTCTCTACCATTTCCAAAGGACCTGAAGTCTAAAATCTTTGCCCAGAGCAATGTTTGAACATAAGCATTGCTCAAGATAATCTGATCACAGAGTGATGAGAGATGCGCTCTGTTGGTCACTTCAACACAATTATTTAATTAATTAACATGGTCTCTCTCTCACTTTTCCTTTTTTTTAATTTTGAGATAAGGCTGGTTGTCAGCAAAAAAAAATAAATAAATTAAACTTCACATTCTGAGAATGCTCAGGAACATTTTTGGAATTTATAAAGCAGTTATCACTGAAGAGTATAAAGAAACTGAACAAACTCTTTATATTTCTGTGGCAGTGTAGAGGCCAGTTATCTATATTCATTCAGGTGGATATGATCTTTAATGGCAGGGAAGGATTGTAGCTTATGAGGAACAGAAACGTCATCTTGCCCGTGGCAACCTTCCTAGGGTCTCGTTTTTGTGCGTTAGGTATCTTGGGCACGTTTGTGCTGTGCTGGTTGATTCCCAATTTCCCTGTTTTTTCCTGACGTCCACTCAGGTTGCTGGGTGCTGTGCAGGGGAGACTTGACACGATCTGGCTTAGTTCAAGGGCAGAGGTCTCAGGTTTTCCTAAAGGAACTAACGTGTACTTTGCTCCCTTCTTCCTCAGGAACAAACAGGCTGCAAGGTGCTGGCAGCCCACCTAGCCCCTAGCAGCACCGTGCAGTGCTCGTGGTGGTAGGATTAAAGCCCCCTGGCTGTGCGTGCTGCAGTTCCACCCTGTTGCACAACTCGGTCATTTCTTCCAAAGGGAAGCTGAAAATGGCTGCAGCATGTAACTTCATCCAGATCTTCAAGGGAAATCCTGATCCTTCAGCGTGACCTGCTGCAGAAATGACATCTCAGTGACTCTGCCATGCCAGTGGCTTAACCACTAGAAGACTGCCAGCGGTTTGCTGTTAATTTGACTTCCCCAGTGCTTTGCAGTCTGACTGCTCTGCTGCAGGGACACTTTGGTGCTTCCACCTGGATTCCAGCCAGCAGCTGGAGCAAGGGACCAGCCGAGGTTCAGTCCCTTCAGCTTTTTCCATCGCGGAGCCT